GTCACCGGAACTGTCCGCTGTGACCAGCGTCGTTGCTGCTACCATCGGGACCACCCGCTATGGACAACTCTGTCGCTGCTGTCACCGGAACTGCCCGCTGTGACCAGCGTCGTTGTTGCTACCATCGGGACCGCCCACTATGGCCAGCTCTGTCGCGGCTGTCACCGGAACTCCCCGCTGTGACCAGCGTTATGTCCCCTGAGAATGGGACCTGCTGAGAACAAACTGAGATCATCGATAAAGTTCCACTTCATCTAAATTCACTGAGACTGAGAATCGAACTCACTGGAATCGAGGTCACTGAGACCAAACTGAGAACTGAGTTGATGCTCTCCCTGAGAGCTGCACTCAAATAACTGAAATCAGATCTGAACCGAACTTGCTGAAAACTGAATTGAACTTGAAAAAAAATAAAATGAAACTGGTCTCACTGAACTTACTGAAATCGAACTGAACTTGAAGAAAAACCAGGGTGACTTTACTGAGTCCAAAGTGAGCTTGCTGAAATTGATCTGATTTCTTTGAGTATGAAGTGAACTCACTGATACTGATCTGATCTCTTTGAATTTGAAATGAATTCACTGAAATAGATCTGAGTCCACTGATGCTGCCCTGAGAATTTAGCTGAAACTTTCTTTGGGAACTGCACTTGGGTCTGAACTCATAATTGAACTGAGTATGCTATGCAAATCGTACCCACATCTGAAGAGAACTGAACTGAGCCTGCATAGAGAATTGAGACTGAACTCGCTGAAACAAAGAATTGAACTCACAGGGGTTGATCTGAGCTTTTACTGAGATTGAAGTGTTCTTATAGAGTCTGAGATGAACTCACTCAAACTGATCTGAACTTTTTGAGAGGAGACTTAAATCTCTGAGCCTGGTCTCAACTGAAATACACACTCCAAACTGATCATCTTTTACTTGAAACTGAACTGAGTTGGTATGAAGTCTCGACTGAGAAACTGAACTGAGTTGGTATGAAGTCTCGACTAAGAAACTGAACAGAATATTGGATCTAAAACCCGACTTGAATCCGGACTGAAACTTGTCTTGAAACTGAACCCAAAGCAGGAGTCGGAATTGAACTTGAACGATACTGATCTTAAAACTGAAACCTCAACTGAACTCGAGTGAGATTCGAAACAGAGTTTGAAGCTGTTTAAGGAGAAACTTGCTGCTAAACGGGAGCTATGAGCCACACTGAAGGAATAAGTTGGGCGCAGCCTAGTCTGATCTGAGTTGACCCGGGCTAATCCGGCCTACTCTGGTCAGACCTGATCCTGCCCCGTCTGGTCTGCTCCTGCCCAGTCTCTGGTCCGATTCGTTCTGGTCTGGACTGATCTGAGTCTGGTCTCATGCGAACTGATCCTGACCCAGTCTGAACTGATCCCACCCGGTCTGATCCGGTCTCGTATGGTCCGATCTGATTGGATCTGATGGGGCCTGGACTGGATTGAACTCATCTGGTCCGATCTGCCATGACCCAGTCTGGTCCGTACCGAACGGGTCTAAACTGGTCCGAATCTGAACTGGTTCTGAACTGGTCTGACCCTGATCTGGGTCTGAACAGGTTTGATCAAATTAGGTCTGGCCCGTTGCCGAGCCAGCGACTGTTGAATCTGGATTAGTTTAGTGACACTGATTTTGAGCCTGTTGAAAGCGGGGCAGACCTGCCGAGCCCAGGCCCATTCAACAATTTTGATCCTGATTCTCAGCTCTGCAAAACGTTGAGTCTTGGCCCTGAGCTCAAGGCTGGCTCTCTAGCCGCCTGCCTGAGCTCAAGTCTGCGGGCTTCCGAGTCTGAGTCCACAAGCTTCCTGCCGCTCGCATGAGTTTGAGTCCCAACTTCCTGTTGCTGTAGCTATCGAGGGTTTCCGGGCATCGTGGTTTATTTTATTTTATKTTTGTTTTACCCGACACCTGAGGACTGGTGACTTTGGATGCCTTATGCAAACAGAACACATCCCAGTGAGTAAGAAACACTTCCCTAATTGAGCTCAGAAATCTGTGTACTGTAGGCCGCAGTTTGCTAAGCTTTGAGTACTTTCTTCTTTTAGAAAGAGCCTTGCGAGGTTGAGTGTCTGTGTACCGGAGAATGCTTACCAGGCCACTTCACACTGAGGATTACTGGTGCCTTCAATGGTTATCAATGAGCCCGAGCCAACAACCCAATCTCACTCTTCTGTTCATGCTGTTCCGGTTCCCGCATAGTGTCTGGCCTTAGTCTGTTTCTCAGTGCCCGATATCTGTTCTTGCCCAAAGTGACACTCTGGTTACTGCACAGAACCGTACGCGTGTCTAGGCCCTGCCCGGTGCTTGAAACATGGATTCAATCTGAATTCAGAGTCTGAACTCAATCAGAACGACAGCTTGACTACCATATATGCTTAACTCCTATCAGAAAATGAACCTGAGCCTGGCCACAACATATATCTCAGTCTGATTGGAAAACAATGGGTGAGCCCAGTCAAAAACATATCTCTCAGTCTGATTGGAAGGCGAGTCAAAGTCTGTTTTAAGAGTGAAACTCAAGACCAGCTGAATTGTGTGAGCATGTGCTCCGAATCTGGCTTGAGTCTATTTCGAATGTCAAACTTGAGATCAACCTGAACATAAGTGCTGAATCCGGAGTAAACTCGTTGAGAAACTTTTTCCAGGCCGTATTCTGTTCGTACAGATTATATTTCCATGTAGTGTCATGTCTTGTTTGCTGCAAAGAGTTCGTTCTTGACTCTGCCTTAGTCCTCCCACCTGTTCACTTCTCAAACTAGCTACATCTAGCTCACTGTGATGAATCTGCCTCTCATTGAGTTGTCAAGCTTCCTTAGTTGGAAATTCATTCTCAGATCTGTCCGTGCTCATGTCTTAATTGCTACGTCAGGACTAGATGCCCCCTGTTCAAATAGAACACGGGGTGCGGCCTGGTGTAGCCCCAGTTCATATACAATACAGGGGTGGAGTCTGCGCACTTCCTGTTCGAATACAGCACAAGGGTGCAGTCTGTGCACTCCCTGTTCAAATACAGCACAGGGGTGCAGTCTGTGCACTTCCTGTTCGAATNTCGAATACAGCACAAGGGTGCAGTCTGTGCACTCCCTGTTCAAATACAGCACAGGGGTGCAGTCTGTGCACTCCCTGTTCAAATACAGCACAGGGTTGCACCAAGCATGTGGTAGTAAACCAGAAACCGCAAACCCGAGAAATTCACTCGTACGCTGTAATTTTTCATTATGTCTACATCTCGGTAAGTTGAAAATCTGAACGGTCAAAGCGAAGCCTATCATGTCCCCATTAACTGTACGAAGTCTGATCTGTAATGCGCAGTCACAATTGTGAAATCTAACTATGAGTTATCCCTTATCTCAAACTTTCATGCGGAAATCAATTATATTTTTTTTACGACTCGGGTCAAAAAGAAATCCTTACCCGTTGCACAGTCTGTTGAATTCGGCTCAGCAAACTACTGAACAAGGTCTGCTGAGTTCATTCAGTTGAGAWGAGTCCAGTTGAATTTGAGCTCTTAAGTTTTGCGGAACAGAGTCTGTTGGGATTAGCTAACATTCCCATCATGAGGCTGAATAGTGGCAACTACTGGGATTTTGTACCACAACAAAGTACGGTGCTCAAGCAGTCGAGTTCCCTGGGCATGGCTCACAACCCCACTTTAGAAACAAATGCTCCGTCTCTATAAACTTTAATGCCAACCTCTCATGCTCATGATGGGAGACTGTTTCTTCGAAGCAACATGCTCGGCGTTCGCGAAAATGGTTGGGATCGTAATGCTGGACTGGGAAAGGCAGCTTCTGAAGTTTCTGATAAACATACTAGCAGAAATGGAATTTTCCTCGTTAGAGAGTGGAACGGTCGTAGAGTTTATACCAAAATCAGCAGCGGGGTCGCCCCCACTCCGTCATTTCGCCATGCTAGTTGACTAGCGAAGAACCCCTCTTTTGTCCTACCTTCCTCTCTTCTTACCTTTCCCTCATCTTCACTCAAGTCTCCTTTTATACCAAAAAAGGGGGAATAGTTCAACTTGGGTGGTTGAGCCAGAAACCAGCTCACGAAACTGAGAAATGCCAATCTTGGAACTTTCGTAATACGGTTCACTTTCAAATTGTCTCCGGCTCACACTCGATAAGGACCATTCTCCCCATCAGATTGAAGAGTATCTGCGTTCGGGGCTCGTGATGGGAGCATGTCTCCCCCGAAAACGTAATCCTCGAAGGCATGGTTGAATTTCATGGAGAATAACAGCAATCTTAGTGCTGTGCCCGGGAGGGGCATTTTTGGAATTTGCATGAAACCCAACGGCAAGCACGAAATTTACTTCTTTTAAGAAGGAAATGGCCACTAGTATTAGATCTAGATCAGTGGCCGCGATAGCTACTGCGCCCCTATCTCACCACGCTGTCTGCCCTGTGAAGAAATGTCCATTTTCTTCTACCTCCCTCTCTCTTCCTGTTTTCTTTTCGATTCATCCTTTCTTCCGCTATCTCACCGTTTTTCTCCTCTTTCGGCTCACACTATTACGCCCGCCTCTTCTCTTTTCGTAGGTACAGTCCATTGGATGATTCTGATGCACAGCTCAGCCCAGGTTCATTCATCTGCTAGTTTTTGTGAACGTATGACACTCTCTCTCCCTCTCTCTCCCTCTCTCTCTCGCTCCTACTCTTCAGACGTGAATCTGGATCGGGAGAGAGCCCAGGTTCAAACCTTTTGCACCCCCGAGCTAGCAGCGAGCTTGTTCCACAGCCTGATTACCAATCAAGAGAGTTAAAAGAATTAGCATTAAGCAAGAGCGTGGAGAAATACAATCACGCCATATTTCTAGTGTTCCCTACATGGCGGCTTTTAATAATGCTCACCAGATCAGTAGAGTAGAATGGTCTCCCGCTAGGATATTTAAAGACATGTTGTCCGTGGCAAGCTACTCGATCACTTGTCAATGGAATGAACCCTCAACTAGAACATGGAAAGATACATCATCGTGTTCTTACCTTCTGCACCCTGTCGCACTGCGCGTCACTCACCAGATCAGTGAAATGAGAATGAACCTGCCACTGGAGCACGAAAGTATTCATCACCACATCCTTTCCCTCCGGTGCACTCCAAGTCTGCCGTTCGTCCCAAAATGAAAGGAATCTTCAGCAAGATCATAGACAGGTACGCTGCCTTATTTTTTGTCTTCAGTGCACCAGGCTACCGGGAGCGCTGCGCCCTGGCAGCATCAATCATCAATGCCATGCGCGCAGGAAAACTGCACGCAGCAAGGAAAGTAGCACGCGCGCGCTCGACGATTGCGCGCGATTGGGTGCGCGCCCTGAACTGAAAATTGGACCACCGGTGGTCTATGTCGAGGAGCTGAGGTGGTCCAAATTTCAGATCAAATGGTCCAGTGGATCATGAGATATCGAAGATTTATGGCGCGCCATGAAATTCGAGTGTGTCGGGCGATGAGAACGACGAGGGCAGGAACATCTGGATACTAATTCCTTGCAGCATATGGTGGCATGATTGGAGATGACCCTTCCACTAGAATATGGAAAGTCACAGCGTCAAATTATTCTCCTCTGGCGCTGCACCAGCATCAGTTAATCTCTCCCAAACCCGTTTTGCCCGCTACTACCCCGCCAGTAGCTGCAGATGAACTTCCCCTGATCTCTTTCAGTCAAATGAATCCGTTCACTCTTGGGACCAAGTGCGTTGATTTATAGGAACAGGAAACTGACCCTCTCTCACACTAGCCTTCACCCTCTCTCCCATCTCTCCTGCAATAACGAGTTTGTGCCTCCTGGCCAGGTCATCTAGATGGCTAACGAGTAGGATGCGTCTGGCCTCACCGCTGAGCCAAGTACATATCATTAAATAATAATAATAATAATAATAATAATAATAATAATAATAATTGTAATAAATCAGATCTACAGGCGCTGCCCTCACAGCTTCTTACCCCTCTCACTCTCTCTATCAATACACCCACTCACTCATTCCAGGCGCACTCTCTCTCTCAGACAGTGCACCCTCTCTCTCTCTCTCTCTTTCCCTCTTTCCTCTCTTCCATTCACACCTACGCAACTTCTTTTGCTCGCACACTGCTGCCTGGTTCACTCCGACTGCGTCCAGCATGTACCTGGACATGGCCAGATACAGTTGTTCTGTCGAAGAGAGCGAAGGGGGAATGAACTTCCCGCTGGAATACGATCAGTTACAGACTTCAGTCCATGTCTTCAGAAAGGACGGACTTCTCGCTTGGACATGACCCAATACGCCCGCTGGCAGTGCGCCTAACGGGAATAAACTTCCCACTAGAAAACGGCCTGATCCGCCAGCTTTGCCACGCGCAGTGCTGCGTTGTTTCTCCAGCTGTACTTCATGAGTGCTCGTACCCTGGCGTCACTTCACGCATCTGAAGATCAAATCACTAGATCAAACGCTTGAATGTACCTAGACTTGTTACACGGGCAGGTGCATGATTACAGAGAGCAGAAAACAATAAAAGGAAAATGGCCGCTCTGCAGTCCCGCTGGTTCGGATTTTTATGAGTCTAGTCTAGTTCTCTCCTAAAGTAGCTGTGCTCACCGTCTGCTGGATGGCTATCCCTCTCTCCTCTGAAAATGGGCGCTTTCGTGACCAACGGAGGTGACTGTATTTATCATTATTGGGATGGCTGCTATCATCACCCACTGGAGTAGCTGCGGACATCATCAGCGGGTTACGAGATGGGGTTCGCCGCAGCTTGTTACAATGGCTATGAGTCGTATTAGCTGCRCTCGTCATCCGCGGATKGCCAGTGAAAGTTGCCTTTTCRCTGCTTGAGGGATGGCTTYCCTGAATYGCTTCTGCTTGCATGAGCCCTGCRTACATGTCGAGACTGACCCTCGAAAGTCAAACCCTGGTTCCTCTTGTAACTGCCAAGTGGTCGTTTCCCCTGGGCCGACAGCTGGCTGCTGTGCCCGTCAACACGTAGCACCTGAGCAAACGCATACACGTCCCTGGGACCTGGTGAGGGTTCTGTGTAAGTAGACCAGGCCCAGTGGTACTACCGCTGACGCTGAGTCCAGGTCCGATAGCCCCGCTGATGGAACCGGTTTCCAGGCCCAGCTGCAGAAATACAGCCCCGGCGGACACCCTCTGGTCTGGATCCAGGCCTGGCCAATGTGAGTACCGCCCCCACTTAGGTTTCTTGCAGTATTATTTTATTTTATTTTATTTGTTGTCGAGGCTAATCGAGCCCTTCACAAAAAAAAAGTAGAAGTTTCATGAGCAAAAAAAAAATAAAATAATAACAAAATTAATAAAAGGGAAAAACACAGGGACATAATGATCTGATATCACCGGATTACTCCAATTTAAAGCAAGGGTTCGATCCGGGCGCAGTCCCATCCCAACGCTTAGCTTTCTCCTCACCTTTATACATTTTTGTTTTCTTTTACTCCTTTTATTTTGTCCTTTTTCTTTTGACAGCGGCCACAGATCAGGGCTACTTATAGCCTGGCAGAAGTGCAACCGGCGCATAGTGGAAAATAATGCACTCTCTACCTCCGCGTCCCTGGTCACACCCAGTGACTATGACGACAGGTTCGTACACAGCACAGGCGGGGTACCCCTGGCACGTAATTGGCTCACAAAGATCTCCAGACCCATAACAGACGAAGTAGCAGGTCCTTGGGCGTCTAATCCGCAGGGGGTAACTGAGCAGGTCTTCGGGACATAGAGGAGGGTCTGGGCACCGCACCCTCCGACAGCGCGCAATCATCCGAGAGAGGGGGAGAGAGAGAGAGGGAGGGCACGAGCGGTGTTCGGAGGAGGCGCTCGACTCTTCGAACTGCACACGATCGTCTGAGAGGGAGCGAGAGAGAAGGTGTTCTACACTACGAACTACGAGCGATCACCTGAGAGGGAGAGGAAGAGAGAGAGAGGGCACGAGCGGTGTTTGGAGGAGGCGCTCGACTCTTCGAACTGCACGAAATCGTCTGAGAAGGAGCGATCTACACTACGAACTACGAGCGATCTCCTGAGAGAGGAAGAGAGAGAGAGGACACTAGCGGTGTTCGGAGGAGGCGCTTGACTCATCGAACTGCACGAGATCGTCTGAGAAGAAGCGTTCTACACTACGAACTACGAGCGATCTCCTGGGGGAGGAAGAGAGAGAGAGGGCACTGGCGGTGTTCGGAGGAGGCGCTCGACTCATTGAACTGCACGCGATCGTCTGAAAGGGAGCGAGAGAGAAGAGGCGTTCTACACTACGAACTACGAGCGATCACCTGAGAGGGAGAGAGGGAGAGAGAGCGCACGAGCGGTGTTCGGAGGAGGCGCTCGACTCTTCCAACTGCACGCGATCGTCCGAGAGGCGTTCTATACTACGAACTACGAGCGATGACCTGAGAGGGGGAGAGAGAGAGAGAGGGCACTGGTGGTGTTCGGAGGAGGCGCTCGACTCTTCAAACTGCACGTGATCGTCTGAAAGGGAGCGAGAGAGAAGAGGCGTTCTACACTACGAACTACGAGCGATCACCTTAGAGGAGAGAGAGAGAGAGAGGGGGCACGAGCGGTGTTTGGAGGGAGCGCTCGCCGCTACGAACTGCACGCGATCGTCTAGGAGAGAGAGAGAGAGAGGAGGAGAGGGTACAAGTGAGGATAGGAGGCATTCGGGGAGGAGGACCGATACTACTGGTTGCGGCTTCGGTACTACCGGCTGCGCAAGCTCGGATAGAAGGCGGCTTCGACACTGCGGGCTCTGAGATCATCCGAAAGGGGGAAAGAGGGAGAGCGAGGGGGAAGAGGCTTCACGCTCTCAGCTAGGCGCCGCTGTTTCGATCAGGGGGAGTGCCTCCCGCACTCTGTGCCGAGCTCCAAAAGCGCGACCAGCTGCCAGCTTGCCTCTTTTCGAATCAGTGGGAGCGGCTCACGCCCTCTGCAGCGGGCACTTTAAGTGTGACCAAAAATGCTGCTTCGGATCGGTGCGAGGGCCTCACGCTCTCGGTAGCAAGCAGCTTGAGTACGTTCGTCACGAGTGGGTCCTCGCTCTCTGTACCAGCCGGTGGGCACGCAGCGGAGTGGTGGTTTTGACTTGCTCGTGTGGTCGCGTGCATCCTCTCGAGCACGCTTCTGAGAACACCGCGCGATAGAAAGAGAGAGCCGGTGTTCCGTTTTCTACTGACGGGGGAATACTCGGAGAAGTCACTATTCACTAGGGGTTTCAGCTTTGCGCCTCTACTAGTCGGTCAGATTCCGCTCAGCTCGTACTCGAGCTACAGCAGTCAGTTGAGTACGGGGGGGGGCGGGGGGGGGGGATCAGTACTCTGAATCAGTAAGAACTCGTTTGAGTGCGTGAAAGAGGGGTGCGAGCTTGTTTTTCTTTTGGTCTCTGAGAGTCGAGGTCATCGCTGGGGTACGGTTAAAAACTCGCTCTGGATTAGCTCGTGCTTGCTTGTGAGAACTTCGAACCATGGTCCGACCTTCTTAGAGTTGTACAGGCTCCTGGTCAACTTAGAAAGTATCTAGACTTGTGAGCAACCCTTAATCAAGCGGTCGAGCAAGTGGCCGCCTGATAGAGACTTCGACCAACGCTCAGTTTTCAATTAACGTGTCAGGCTCGTGGCCGCTCGGGAAAGCTGTGGTTTGCAGACAGTGTCGAGCCCGTGAAGTGTTGTCTGTCCTCGTTACGGCTGTCTAGCTACGGGGCCAGCTGGGGAGAGAGAGAGAGAGAGAGAGAGAGAGAGAGAGAGAGAGAGAGAGAGAGAGAGAGAGAGAGAGA